GTGCGCAGATACAACAGACTCATGAGTTTGCCGACGGGTGGTTTTTACCCAGTTTTGTGGCTCTGAGGTCTCACGATGCCCTGGGTTGGGCGGACAGCTTAACCGGGATGAAAGATTAATCACGGACGGGGAAATCTTTGAATTGGCTAAACATCTGCACTCAGTCTTACAATAACAGTCAGAATTTAACGCCAAACCAAAATTCTGCGTCTGTCAGTGATGCAGGGCTCGTGATCGGGTGGTACCGTTCGGCGTCTTTTAAGGAAACGCAGATCGCATATGCAGCTAAACTCTTTTGAAAAAGTGGTCATCATTCGCGGCATTGTTTTTGCATTTTTAAGCCGTTTTCCTCCTTAGGCCATCACGTTTTTCACACTGTTCGATTGGTTCTTTTTTCCAGTTTTTTCTTTACTAGAATATCTCATCAGCTGCGAGCCACAGAAGCGATCTAGATTTTCAAGCTACATTGACCTTTGAGATAGTTAGTGGAACGCAGACATATGCGATGAACCGGCAGTGAGTGTTCGCAGATAAAGAGGACAAAAAGTGTCCCAAGTTCGATCTAACATCCTTACATAGATGATTCAAAATCGGTTAAGTTTCGTAGGGAATGGGGGAGGTGAGGGTTGGCAGCATGGTATTTTGCGCAGACTGGCCGGCTCGCTTGTCTACCATGATAAATTAGGCAGCGCTTTTTACGGTGAACGGAAAGGGGGCGGCGCCACGGCCCGATTTGGAACGAACTTTTGACCAGATCTGATACAGTAGGACGGGCCGAACGCGAAATGCACGTGGGAACTTAGCTAGCCAATAATCGTAGAGTGCATCATCGAGCACGCGTTCCGCCTTTGCTCAGGCGTAATGACTAATCGATGGCTGAACGAATATCCGAAATTTTGCCGCAGAAAAGTTGGTCAATCCCGTACTAGCACGCCAAAAGCAGAATGTCCTAGAACTCTGAGGAGTCAAACAGATGAGGTGAGCTTTAACGTGTCGAAGGGCCGTAATATGCAACCTGACAGAAGAAAATTGGCGCTCCCTGAACTCGCCTTCCTTATATTACATCTACTCATGGGGAAACAGCAGATAATTGAATGTAGGACCCCATGGAGGCACAGCATTCACTCAAAACTGGTACACCGAGAACCAACGTTACTAGATTCTACCAGAGCGGGGTCAATGCC